GCTCTTTTAACTCTCCCCCGCTCTACGTATTTGACACAGGATAATGTGATATAGGGCATGGTGACATGCTATAAAAGAATGGTTCCTTAATTATAATATTTAAGATTTTTCCAGGAGTTTAAAATACTTTTAAGCGCCTAATTTAACTGTTATTTCCTTCACTTGAAAAATGAAATCCTTTTTGGCAGGCCATTATAAAGTCTTTAGATTTTACACTTTTAAAAAAGGGTAATTGTGAGTCCTATATCTGTAGAAAGTAAACTATGCTGGATAGAGTATTTAAATTAGGATTTTTCCATTTTCTATAAAAGATCAAGTAAAAATTCTGTTGAGATATTTTTGAAATTGTTGGAAGGGTTTTGAGGGGCTATGGAAGAGGCTTCACATTTAATTATGTATCTCATAGCCAGAAGTGAAAAAACAGTCATTAAAAATTGAGTTCTAAAAAGAAAATTGAGTTCTAGCAGGAATAGGTAGGTTATTGGATGATCTAAAAATCAGTTGTGGAGGAGGGGGGGCGTGAGTTGGGTGTGAGTGTATTTGTACTGATATACATGTATACTGATAAAATTTGGAAATTGATGATGCTGGCTTCTCAGATCAAAGAGGAAAGGATAGATTCTTAGATCCCCACCTCACCCCATGTGCCAGATGAAATTCCAGAAAGACTAAGGATTTACCTGTAAAAGGTAAATAATATATATATTTATATTTAAAGAAAAATATATTGGAGGAATATTTAATCTCAGGTAGTTGTAACACTGCCAAATGATATTAAAAAAAAGAATGATCTATCTGTACAGCAAAAACAAAACTTCATCTGTCATAGGCAGAGAGAAAAGTTGAGCATGAAGCTGGCAAGTCATATGTAATATATGTGATTTGCTCTTCAGACTCAAGATAAATACATATTACTCTACTAGAAGTCCCCTTTGCCTCCTTTCGGAGGCATTCCTTTCCCCATTCACCCTGGCTGCCTTTTTAGATGGACTCCCAGAGGTATTGGTTTTGTCATTCCTCTTTAGTAAACAAGCGGAGAACAGGAACCTCCCTTTTAAGCCCCTGGTGCTGTTGCCTTTTGTTGCCACTTGGTGTTGCTATTGAAGCTTGATTCTGTGAGCCCCTTCCTATTGCTCAGCTGTGAGGCTCTTAATGGTCCAGAAGCTTGCACAGACTTCACTGGGGCCACTTGGGGGTTCTTAAAGGCTATTAGAGTTCATTTACTCAGAAGCTCTGCTCTTGTTTCCCCCTTTAGAGTCATTTTACCAGGGTTATAGGGTATGAAGGAGCAACCAGCACCATTCATTCATTCATTCATTCATTTGACAAATAATTACTTAGCACCTGCTGTGTGAACTGGATACTGTTTTATTTATTTTAAGTAATAATAGCGAACAAAACAAAGCAAAAACTTCCTGCCATATTGGAGTCTACATTCTTTCTGAGGATTGGGTGGAGGGAGAATAGTGGTGACGATAGGGTTAAGTGTTAATGCTATGATACATCTACAGAAGGTTCTATGCATGCAGTTCTGATCTCTTTCAATTATTTTGTTATTTATTCTATGTGGGACATCAATATGAATGATTCCAGTAAGTGTAATAAAGAAGAGAGGCTGAGTACTTGACGGATTTAAAATTACAGTTCACTGATGACTTCTCGCTAGCTTATGTAGGCCCTTTGTGGGCACACTGTATATAGTGGTGCATCATGCAGCTATTAAACACGGTGGTGGTGGTGGTTGTTCAGTTGCCGAGTTGCATCTGATTCTTGGCGACCCCCTGAGCTGCAGCACATCAAGGTCCTCTGCCCTTCATCTCCTGGAGTTTACCCAAGTTCATGTCCTTGGAATCGGTGATGCCATCCAACCATCTCATCCTCTGTCGCCCTCTTCTCCTTCTGCCTTCAATCTTTCCCAGCATCAGGGTCTTTTCAAATGAGTTGGCTCTTTGCACCTGGTGGCCAGAGTATTGGAGTTTCAGCATCAGTCCTTCCAGTGACTATTCAGGGTTGATTTCCTTTAAGATGACTTGATCTCCTTGTTGTCCAGGGGACTCTCAAGAGTCTTTTCCAGCACTACAGTTCGAAAGCATCAGTTCTTCAGTGCTCAACTTTCTTTATGGTCCAACTATCACATCCATACATGACTACTGGGAAGACCGTAGCCTTTACTATATGGTATAGACATGTATTTATGAAAATGAAGAGATGATTATGTTAAGTGGAAAGGCACCTTATGAAGTAATATGTTTAGGATGATCACATTGTTGAAAAGTACTTTTTCTCTACTCTCAGTTCTTCCTGAGCAGGGAGTTCTGCCCCCACTTCATTATTTACTCCATCCCTGGTATAATGACTTGAGTACACGTGCATGCTGAGTCACTTCAGTCATGCGACCCTATGGATTATAGTTTCCCAGACTCCTCTGTCCATGGGATTCTCCAGGCAAGAATACTGGAGTGGGTTGCCATACCCTCGGATCTTCCTGACCTAGGGATCAAACTCACATCTCTTATGTCTCCGGTATAATGACTTATCTGACTGTAAATTTGAGAGTAACTGTCACTCCTGGTGCCTGTTGTCAATGTAAGAGCTCTCTGGTCTTTTTACAGCCATGAATTGATTTCTTCTTGGAATAATTGTGCAGGGGCTCAACCCTGCAGGGAGAGGTCTGCTCTGTCTTGTGTTAACACGTCCATCTCTGGGGCTCACTGCTAGCGAGCCCATTTGTCCAGCACACCTAAAACTTCTATTAGGAATGACAGTGATATTTTATTTTTTGTTTTGTTTCTTGTTCATAACTTTGGCAGGGAAGTGATTATCAGTTTTTGGGTGCTCTCTTTTATTTAGTTTTATACATATTTTTCCCCCATATACATACTAGAAAAAGGTCTGGGTAAATACGCATCATAGTTTTCCAAGAGGTTCGTAGAACTAGGAGATTTTTCCCTTCTTTTTTTTTTTTTTTTTTTTCTGTCTGTACTTTTAAATTCACTGGGATTATTAGATATGTTTGAGAAATAGTTAAACATTTCCAACCTCTGAAAAATACAGCCTGGTCTGACTTTCCCTGTAGAAGAACTAGTCATCTTTCTACCAGGGAAGAAACTAGACTTGAGTGATGTTTCTACCTGCAGAGCTTGGTGCTTGAGTCTAGAACTTAGGATAGGCAAAAATATATTACTAAAATCTCTGACTTAACATTTCAGCACACATGTCAGAATAATTGCCTTTTATCCTTAAATTTAGAAGTTTTCAGTTTTTGTATCCCTTAACTACTCTTGTGGATATAGATGAATTTACTTCCTTTGTCTTTTAACCTTCCTACTACCTTTGTAAGTAGTTAGTCTACTATCTTCACTGTACGTTTGCCTTTGCCAGTGAGATTTTTCGTTTCATAATGTGTGTATTTCCAGTTTTGATGTTTGCTGCTTAGAGATGTCTCTTTAACATTTCTCTTAAAGACAGTTTCAGTTCAGTTCAGTCACTCAGTCATGTCCGACCCTTTGCAACCCCATGGACTGCAGCACGCCAGGCCTGCCTGTCCATCACCAACTCCTGGAGTCTACCCAAACTCATGTCCATTGAGCCGGTGATACCATCCAGCCATCTCATCCTCTGTCGTCCCCTTCTCCTCCTGCCTTCAGTCTTTCCCAGCATCAGGGTCTTTTCAAATGAGTCAGCTCTCCGCATCAGGTGGCCAAAGTATTGGAGTTTCAGCTTCAACATCAGTCCTTCCAATGAACACCCAGGACTGATCTCCTTTAGGATGGACTGGTTGGATCTCCTTGCAGTCCAAGGGACTCTCAAGAGTCTTCTCCAACACCACAGTTCAAAACCATCAATTCTTTGGTGCTCAGCTTTCTTTATAGTCCAACTCTCACATCCATACATGACCACTGGAAAAACCATAGCCTTGACTAGATGGACCTTTGTTGGCAAAGTAATGTCTCTGCTTTTTAATATGCTGTCTAGTTTGGTCATAAATTTCCTTCCAAGGAGCAAGCATCTTTTAATTTCATGACTGCAGTCACCATCTGCAGTGATTTTGGAGCCCAAAAAAATAAAGTCTGCCACTGTTTCCCCCTACATTTGCCATGAAGTGATGGGACCGAATGCCATGATCTTAGTTTTCTGAATGTTGAGGTTTAAGCCAACTTTTTCACTCTCCTCTTTCACTTTCATCAAGAGGCTCTTTAGTTCTTTGCTTTCTGCCGTGAGGGTGCTGTCATCTGCATAGCTGAGATCATTGATATTTCTCCCAGCAATCTTGATTCCAGCTTGTGTTTCATCCAGCCGAGCATTTCTCATGATGTACTCTGCATATAAATTAAATAAGCAGGGTGACAATATACAGCCTTGACGTACTCCTTTTCCTATTTGGAGCCAGTCTGTTGTTCCATGTCCAGTTCTAACTGTTGCTTCCTGACCTGCATACAGATTTCTCAAGAAGCAGGTCAGATCGTTTGGTATTCCCATCTCTTTCAGAATTTCCCACAGTTTCTTGTGATCCACACAGTCAAAGGCTTTGGCATAGTCAATAAAGCAGAAAAAGATGTTTTTCTGGAAAACTCTTGTTTTTTCAATGATCCAGAAGATGTTGACAGTTTGATCTCTGGTTCCTCTGCCTTTTTTAAAACCAGCTGGAACATTTGGAAGTTCACAGTTCACGTATTAATGATGTTAATCTCTTATAGCTTTTGCTTGTTTATGAAACTCTGTCTCCTTCAAATCTGAGTGATATCTTTGCTGGGTAGAGTGTTTGTTTTTTCAGGTGGGTGGAGTATTCTTGTTTGTAGATTTTTCTCCTTTCATCACTTTGAAAATATTATGCCATATTCTTCTGGTCTGCAGAGTTTCTGCCAAAAAATCAGCTAATGGTCTTATAGGAGTTCCTCTGTGTGTAACTGGTTTCTTTTCTCTTGATACTTGTATGTCTTTCCTGGTATTTATTACTATGTAAGACATCCTAATTTTTTTTATATGTTTATCTCTTATAGAAAAGGCTACGAATGAGTACAACACTACAGAAGATTGGAGTCTTATTATGGACATATGTGACAAAGTTGGAAGCACTCCTAATGGGTAAGATGGCCAGTCATGCCCAGTGAACGTCTATGAGCTTAATAATCTGTATCTCTTTTCCTGATATAATTCTGGAAGGAAATGGGATTTTTACTGTTTCCTTTTGTGAGTAAAAGACATGCTGCTGGCTGAATTTATGTGGTTAATCTTATTCTGAAAGAACAAATGGGAAAGAATTAACTGAAAACTTGAAATATTAAAATGTATAATTAAAGCCTTGATACAGGGAATTCCCTGGTGATCCAGTGCTTAGGACACTGTGCTTTCACTGCTGGGGTTCCAGGTTCAATCCCTGGTCGGGGAACCAAGATCCCACAAACCTCACAGTGCAGCCAAAAATATATATGTATATATAAAATGCCTTGATTCAATAGGGACAGATGTTAATGAATAATTATTTAGGGAGTTCCCCTGTGACTTACACGTTATTAATGAAGTAGATAAATATAAAAATATGTAATATATTGAAAAAATCTTTCAGTAATGAATAGATAAATGCAATAAATCATGATGAAAAAGTGAATATAAATAACAGTGCTTTGAGGATGGAATGGGGCCATTAAACTGAACTGATTATGCATTAGAGGTTTAGAAGACTGATGAAAGCATTTGTTTTAGTGTTACAGCTTTTTGAAGTTTATTCATGCATGGTTATACTTAAATCATTTGAGACTATGTATCTTGCTAGTTTTTTTCCCCACAAGATAAGAATTTGCTGTCTTGAAAGCTAAGTCAGTCTTAAATGAAAAGATAATTTTTATGATATTGTTCTCTTGTGTTGACTGACCTTTTTGAAATGATTTGATTTTTTGATTTTGGGATACACAACCTTTGCAGCAAGCATTTTTTCCTGTCTACAAGTCTATGAGGAAAAGGTGTAAGATCATTTTATAGATTTATTCCCTTAATGAAGTAAAGTTTGCAGGTGTACATATAAGGTATTATATGACCAAATAGCTTTTAAAGTTATTTGGTTGTAGAATACCTTATGTATTTAATGCGTGAATTGAAATTCTGAATACTTAACTTTCTTCATTTTTTTAGAGCAAAAGACTGCCTAAAAGCCATAATGAAAAGGGTAAATCATAAAGTTCCTCATGTTGCTCTGCAGGCACTAACTGTAAGTGAAAGTCATATTATTTGGCCAAAATTTTAAATGTGTTTGTTTCAGTAAGTTAAGAGAGATTACATCTCAACATTTGTATATTGATTTTTATTTTAATTAATAGCTTCTTGGGGCTTGTGTGGCAAACTGTGGAAAGATATTTCATTTAGAAGTGTGTTCCCGTGATTTCGCAACAGAAGTACGTGCTGTGATAAAAAATAAGGTAAATTAAAAAAAAAAAAAGAAATTTGAGTCATTAAAAAATACATATGCTGTTATTTTAACTGTATATAGCATTAGTAGAGTTGTAAGTGAAATCATTTTAGATAAATTTGAAACAAAACAGCTTTCTGTTCTAAAATTTGTTGTTTGCATTTGTAGCACCAGAAACTGTTTTCCTCCCTAAAGCATATATATTAGTGATATAGCTGATCTTTATTGAGGGTTAGCAGCCACTACTTTAAGCATTTTATGTATGCTATCTTGTTTAATGCTCTTAACAACTTTTAGAAGTTAGATTCCCAGGTCATTCCTATTTTATAGATGGAGAAACTGAGACTTAATACTTGTCTAAGATTATGCAGCTAATACATGGCATAGCTGAAGTTCAGATGTAAGTTTCTGTGACACCAGCGTCCAAACTAACCATCATTCTGTCCTGATTCCCATTAGAGATGGTGAGCAAAGGGGGCCTTTATTTTAGAACAGGGTGGAGAGGGTCTTCGTGATGGGGTTGTTACTGATTTATTTGTAATAGAAACTGAAACACTATGTTCACGCTATTAGTGACAAAAATCTCAGAATTTTAGTTTAGTTGATACAAAAAGTTTAATATTGAGAATATTAGGAAAACACGAAATAATCTCTGAATATGACAGATTCATTGTCACTGTATAAGACATAAATATTAATGTTCAAAAAGAGTAATTTTCCAAGAAACAAGTATATATTAAAATAGGTATTTATCAAGTGCTTATCTAAACTAAGGATTACTGGACTTTTGTGGCTATCCATAAAACTAGAGAATTTTGGTGGTAATTCTCTTTGTTAAATAATTCAAGTGCTTATTTTAACCATTTTTTTCTTTGCCTTTTCTTTAAAAGGCTCATCCTAAAGTATGTGAAAAACTGAAATCGTTAATGGTAGAATGGTCAGAAGAATTTCAGAAGGACCCTCAGTTTAGTCTAATATCTGCAACTATTAAATCTATGAAAGAAGAAGGAGTTACTTTTCCTCCATCAGGTTCTCAGGTAAGAGATTCATTCAGACTCACGGATGACCCTATACTATAGTATTTTGAAGGTATATACCTTATGTCAAAGCTGGCAAGGTCTATCTTAGTCATTACTCACCTCCATTCTACATGAGTTTGTCTAGTGTAGTGCCTGTAATTGTCGAGTGAATTCTACACATGAGAACTTTGAGAAGTGAGTCATCCATAAATAATCTGTTTAATGCGACTCTGAATCTAGAGTCATGCAAAAGGCATAGATGTGTGAGAGAGCCCTTATGTTCAAGGTATTTATAGTCAGTTGAAAGGGTAGCTTTATATATGTGAAAAATAACTGATTGTAAGTGACAAAGATGGATGAGGGGTGCAAAAGTTAGATGCCAGGAAGAAGGGGTAACTGTGGACTGGGATGGTGAAGAAGGTGAAGAGTAGAATTTTTAGGCTGGAATGTAATTCAGTATGTAAGAGGAGTAAAGAGGTTGTCAAGGGAGGGATGACATGAATCACTTCATGGACTTGAGAAAGCTCGAGGCCTGTTTGTTGAAGAGTGAACATGCCTGGAGTGTGCTTTAGTTTATGTATAAAATGGGTTGACCTGTAAGGCTGAAAGTTTATTCAAGGACATAGGGACAGCTTTTGCAGGACCGGGGGTGGGGGGGGCAGGCAGGGATAATGATTCCCAGAGTCAGTGGTTTATTTTGGTCTGTGGGGAAAAAACATTGTATCTTGGGTTCTGCTCTCAGTGTCTCTTGTTTTTTCAGGATGTGGGCTAGGGAAAGAAACTAAGAGAACTGTGTATTTTTTCAATTTTAGACCATAGACTAAAGACACAAAAAGAACCTTTTTAGTTGATCAGATCTATGGGTTCAAAGTAGAATGTAGTGAGGTGGATGAACCTAGAACCTGTTACAGAGAGTGAAATAAGCCAGAAAGAGAAAAACAAGTATCCTATATTAGCACATATAAATGGAATCGAGAAAAATGGTACTGATGAATGTGTGTGAAGGGCAGGAATAGAGTTGCAGACATGGAGAATGGACTTGTGGACACAGTGGGGAAACAGAGTGGTACAAATTGAGAGAGTAGCATTGACATGTATGTACAATTATGTGTGAAATAAACAGCTAGCAGGAAGCAGCTGTATGGACAGGGAGCCCAGCTTCAGTGCTCTGTGATGAAGTAGATGGGTGGGATGGGGGATGGGGTAGGAGGGAGGCGCAAGAGGGAGGGAATATATGTATACTTACAGCCGATTCACATTGTCACAAACAGCAGAGGCCAACACAACATTGTAAAGCAGTTATACTCCAATTAAAAATAAGTTTAAAAAATAAAAGGCTTAGAAGTAATAGAAAGCCAGTATTTCCTTGCTCTGTCCTTTCTGCAAGTCATTCTCAAAAATCTGTGATAAAGAACTGGTTGATGGTTCGGAACCCTGGACATCTCTGTCTCCCATGCCCTTAAGTTTAAGCATGACCTTCCTTAGTCCTCTGCTGTGTCTGAAGAGTCACCACCATTCAAACACAACGAGTAGTGAAGGGGTTAAGGATGCCAAGAGCCGCCCCTGTTGTCTGCGTCCCTCCTCTGTTCTTCAGTCATTAGCCTGGCTTCTTGCCACTTCTCCTGTAGCCCCACGTTGAGTTAGACTTTGGACCACCGAGATCAGGAAATGCAGTCAGGAAAGATGTATATTTAAGTACTTTTCTTTATGCCAGGTTCTGAGTCAGATGCTAAGATTCATGCAAAATGTAAGCTAGTTCATGCCCTTTGTGATTTTTTTCATATTTTCTTGAAAATTCTGATGTTCTGTTTTAGTATTGAAAACAACTACTTAAAATTATCATAAAGACCTTCACTTTTAAGTGAAACTCATTAGTTACATCAGTTGTTTTTTTTTAAATTAGCATGTGCGATTAATTATAGAGCTTGTGTTTTCTTTGAAAAGGTAGTTGTGTTCATTTTACTTATACATTACAGACTGTCTCAGCTACTGCCAAGAACGGTACGTCATCGAACAAAAACAAAGAAGATGAAGATATAGCTAAAGGTAAAGGATTAAGCACATGTTTAATGTTGGCTGATCTTTGCAGAATGATTTATTGAAATAAAAATTAAAATAAAACTGAGTTTACTTGTAGTATTTTACCTCAAATCTAAAAACTAGTGGAGTCTGAAAACTTCCTGACATGATATAAGGTTAATTGAATTCATAATCCTTGTCAGTAATAGTTTTTAGTGTCCTACCTTTGAAGAGATTACATTTCACCTTTTCTTTAATGCCAGAGTTATGAGTCAAGCACAGAAATATGTTCATGACTTGTCCTATATGGAAAGCTACCCATATTATAATGTCACAATCTGTTTGCTGTAAAAATAATAGCTGCTGTATATGACAGACTGTGATATTAAGGAATGAGCAAAAAATTTATTTTCAAAAATGTCATAGTTGTCTGCCCTGTCCCATTTTGCCCCCCACCCCCACCCCACAAAAGCTAATTGTTTAGTATTTAACCGGACAAATAAAATTCACTTGATTTATTCTTATTAAATAGTATATTATGTAATATTTCCTTTTTAAACTCTTAAAAAAAATCAGAGTTAATACTGGCTGTCTTGTTTTTTGCATTGTAATTTTTCAAACTAGCTATTGAATTATCACTGCAAGAGCAGAAGCACCAGCACACAGAAACAAAACCCTTGTATCCATCTGCAGAGATTCAGTCAGATCAGAAAGTCGCGAGGAAAGTGAGAGCTTTGTATGATTTTGAAGCTGTTGAGGACAATGAACTCACCTTTAAACATGGCGAAATTATTATTGTTTTGGATGACAGGTATGTTTTAAATGTTTCTGGAATATTTTGAAGTTACTCGGTATCATATCCTTAATTTAGAATGCTGAATATTCAGCTTTTGACTTTGGTGTATTTAAATCATACTAGAACCTTTTCTGCCATTAATTAGTTAGACGGGGTAGTTTGAGTTTCTTATTCTTTTGTTAAATTTGGTAATAAAGTGTTCTTTGTATCTTGGGTTAAAAATGTGTTGAATGATATTGTTTATCATCACAGTTGGGAAGCAGAAACATTCAGTCATCTGAATGTATTTACACTGAGAATGGTATATACCAAAATTACTGGCAAAAAAAAAAAACTTTAGGAAGAGATATAGCTGTAATACCTCTAATCAGCCCAGCTAAAAACTATGCTCAGCTCCTCCCCAGTTAATCTGCTACTGCCTCTCCCTCACAATTTCTCTATCACTTAAAGTTGTAATAAAGAATAGATTTGTCTGTATTGAGCCTAACTCTACTTTAGTTTGTTTTTAAAAGAAATTGATGAAATTTAGCAAGACTGAGACCTAACAACTTGTTACTAACAGATTGCAAATGTACTTGGTATCCATTATAAATAACTTAGTAAGGATACATTAGTATATTTTTAAATGGGTAAATACCCAAAATGGTTTTACTTTGCTGCAGTAAATATTTATTGGGAAAATATTATATGAATATGAATATAATAAAGAATGAGGAAGCAGTTGTTTTCTTCATAAAACCTAGACTAAAGTAAGGGAGTTAAGATTACTTTACAAGTAAGTATGTGGTATGAAGATTGTGAATGCCATAAGAGGTAATGTTGGGGTCCAGAAGAAAGCGGAGTCACGCCTGGTACACACCTCTAGGAAGAAAGGCTTATCCAGTGGGTTCATTATGGGTGAACTTTGATCTTACAGAACAGGAAAGTGAAGGTTTCTTACACAGTCAAGATAACATTATGTTTACTTAGAAAATAATCTTTTTTTTTCCTTTAAGAGTCTGCTTTGTTTTTCTTTTTTAAATAATCATTTGGAGTAGAGCACATGACCCCTGACGGAGAATAGATGTGAAGGTGAAGGCTTAGTATGAGGTCTGAATGCTGACAGTCTGAAATGTCAGGCTTCTGGGTATAAAATGTTTATAGAAGAACTTAAGTTTACACTTCTGATACTTTTATACAAGCATAAAATTAAGGACATTTATAAAATAAATAGAAGCAAAACTACAAAATGAGCATTATTTTTATGGAATGAGAAAATTTTCCAGTGTAAGTTACTGCTCACAAGGTAAGTAACAGTACTGATCAGTGGCACAGCTGCTTCCTCATTTTCTTCAGCAAATCTGTTCTCCTCACTGCTCTGATAACTCAGTTTTCTGATTGTTTCTTATGTGGTTGTTGTGACTCCTTCATACACACCATATCCCTTGATGTCATTTGATGTTCATGTGGCATTATGTACCTGTTACGGTCTGCGGGCTTTTAGTATGTAAAGGGTTACGTCATTGTGAAGCCATGTGTCTTTTCGTTGATGTCTAGTTAAAGCACAGATCCGAAACTATTTTCAGTTAAGGCTTATCCTTGCAAAAGAGAATTTTTTTTCTGTTGTAAACTACTAAGAGAATTCAACATGAATATGATAGAATATGTAGGTTGATTAAATGTCATTTTGATGTTAGGAGACCCCAATCTTAAAACTGCCATAGATGTGCTCATCAACACACATAAGTTAAATGTTGTCATTCTAAGAGATTGGTTATTACCGGCAAGATTTTAAACACAAATGCACACTTGGGTACCAAAGTTAAATGGCCGTCTTGCATTAAGAAAGAGGTCATCTGGATGATCCAGAATATGACTATATCCATTGTTTTTATATTCTGTTGCAATTAAAAGTACAAAATTTAAAACTTCACGTATAGAACTTGAAGTCCCTTGAAAATATATCATTCTCAGACTTCAATTTAAGAAATACTCAGCTGATAGACAGCTGCAGATTCCTTATTAACAGAGTATACCAAAAAATGTCATTCTCAGTGCTCCCAAATATTATAAAGGATCTAGGAATAAATAAACCTAACAAAGATACTTAAGGACTTCATGGAAAAAATTATAAATCCTTTGAAAGATATAAAATAAAATATATTTTATATATCAATAAATATAAATGTAGTGAGATGTCATTTATGCTGAAGAAACCTTAATATTGTAAAGATTACTTTTTCTAATATTAATACATAAACAGTTCATTTCTCATTAAAACCTCAATAAGACTTTTTTTCAGAGAACTTGGAAACATTTGTATTTTGACATTAATATGGAAATATGAAGGTCTACAATAACACAGAGAAGGTACTTTTCCTGTCACATATCAAGGCATATTAAGATGTTATAATAAATATAGACTATTGCAACAGGATGGAATCCAGAAATAAGCTTATGAACAGATAGCAGCTTGCTATTTGAAAGATAGACTATCATAAATCAGTAGGAAAAATGAGGTACTATTAAATAAATTTTGCTGGGATGAATGACTTTCTATACAGTATAAATAAAATTTGATTCAGCTTCACATAGTACATAAAATTTCATCCCAAATAAAGACCTAGATGTGGAAGAGTGCTATAAAGGAAAATGTGAAACTATTAGGCAAATATAAGGAGAATAGATTGAGGAGTTTAAGGTATTTACATAATACAGACAAACAAATGCTATTCAGATATGTACAGAACTCCTACATATTCATGAAAAGAGACAAATGACCCAGTGGAGAAAGAAAAGTGGACAGAAGATATGAACAGGCAGTCTACGGAAGAGGCAGTCTGGATGCTCAGAAGAACAAATGGGCACAGCAGTAAGAGATGATTTCTCTTGTGCAGTACCAAGTGTTGCCTGGACAGTTGACACATGTGAGCGACAATGACATTCTCACATGCCGCTGAGGGGAAGGGGGTTGGTGAATTGCCACAACCACTTCAGGGAACATTTGACAACATTAGTAGAATGGAAAATGCTTAGGTTTTGTGGCCCAGCAAGCCTATCTCTGTGAACATGCCTAGAGAATTGTTGCATGTGTGCCCTAAAATCTAGAATGATTATTACCCCAGCCTTTATAAGGGTGAAAGAAAAGACTGGATATGACCTAAGTGCTGCCTGCATGGGTGTGAGTACATCAAATATGCCATATCTGTGTGATGGATCTTTAAAAGGGATTAATAAAATCTGAAAGAATTAACCTATAAAATTTAAAAGATATATAATGATTAACATTTTTATTAGGTTGGTGCAAATGTAATTGTGGTTTTGGACCATCAATTTTAAATCATTATAACTAAGCTTGAACATATCTTTGTTAATCAAAATAGGAACCATTTCAATTAACACATTTTTGCCAACGAGAAATAAGTTTACTTATTCCTGTGGTATAAAAATATGTGCTCCAGATCAATCCTAAAGGGTTCTACTCTCAGCATTGTGTCTAGGGTTATAATGCTGTATTGTGCACTTAAAATTTGCTGGGAAGGGAGATCTTACATTTATATCACCAAAAATTAATAAATAGAGATGGGTGGAGAAAGTTTTAGGAGGTAATGGATATATTTATTGTATAAACTGTGGTGATGATGTTCAGATGCATACTAATTTGCAAATCCATCAAGTTGTACAGTAAATAGGTACAGCTCTTTGTATGTTAAAACCTTAAGAAAGTGGTTTTGAAAAATTAAAAAAGAAAAATCTGTGCTTCGGGATTTGACTCTTGGAAAGCATTTTCTGCCTCCTGCTGGTTTGTGGAATTATTTTCCCTGCAAAAATTTGTTGAGATGCTGAAAGAAGTAGTCAGTTGGTGAAAGGTCAGGTGAATATGACAGATGAGGCAAAAGTTTGTAGCCTAATCTGTTCAACTTCTGAAGCATTGGTTGTACAACATGTGGTCAGGTGTTGTCGTGGAGAAGAATTGGGCCCTTTCCGTTGACCAAGGATGGCTGCAAGCATTGCAGTTTTCGGTGCATCTCATTGATTTGCTTAGCATACTTCTCAGATCAATGGTTTCGCCAGGATTCAGAAAGCTGTAGTGGATCACCGTGGCATCAGACTACCAAACAGTGACTGTGACCTTTCTTGGTGCAAGTGTGGCTTTGGGAAGTGCTTTGAACCTTCTTACCAGTCCAACCACTGAGGTAGTCGTCACCAGTTGTCTTATAAAATCTACTTTTCGTTGCATGTCACAATCCAATCAAGAAATGGTTTGTTGTTGTGGCATAGAATAAGAGAAGATGCACTTCAAAGTGACAATTTATTTGATTTGTGGTTGGCTCATGAGACACCCACTTATCAAGGTTTTTCACCTTTCCAGTTGGCTTCAAATGCCAAATGACCAGAGCACGGACGGCGTTGCGTTCTTTGGCAACTTCTTGTATAGTTGTAAGAGGATCAGCTTTGATGGTGTTGTTACCTTCCAATGGCTGGCCACTATGCTCCTCATCTTCAAAGCTCTTGTCTCCTTTGCAGAACTTCTTAAACCACTTGAACTACTGCACTGTCCATTCATTAGCAGTTCCTGGGCCAAATGTGTTATTGATGTTGCAAGTTATCCCTGCTGCTTTACGACCCATTTTGAACTCAAATAAGAAAACCGCTCCAATTTGCTTTTTGTCTGACATCACTTCCCTAGTCTAAAATAAATATAAAGTAAACAAGTAATAAGTCATTAGCAAAAAAATATAAAGCAAGAAATGTGCATTAAAATGGTGTATAACATAACCATATTTATTTAAGAATATTCCAATATCAAATGGCAAAGTTCAACAATGCAAAACTGCAATTACTTTTTTTTTTTTTCATTTATTTTTATTAGTTGGAGGCTAATTACTTTACATCATTGTAGTGGTTTTTGTCATACATTGAAATGAATTAGCCATGGATTTACATGTATTCCCCATCCCGGTCCCCCCTCCCACCTCCCTCTCCACCCGATCCCTCTGGGTCTTCCCAGTGCACCAGGCCCGAGCACTTGTCTCATGCACCCAACCTGGGCTGGTGATGTTTCACCCTAGATAATATACGTGTTTCGATGCTGTTCTCTTGAAACATCCCACCCTCGCCTTCTCCCAGAGTCCACAAGTCTGTTCTATACATAGGAGTCTCTTTTTCTGTTTTGCACATAGGGTTATCATTACCATCTTTCTAAATTCCATATATATGTGTTAGTATACTGTAATGGTCTTTATCTTTCTGGCTTACTTCGCTCTGTATAATGGGCTCCAGTTTCATCCATCTCATTAGAACTGATTCAAATGAATTCTTTTTAATGGCTGAGTAATATTCCATGGTGTATATGTACCACAGCTTCCTCATCCATTCGTCTGCTGATGGGCATCTAGGTTGTTTCCATGTCCTGGCTATTATAAACAGTGCTGCGATGAACATTGGGGTACACGTGTCTCTTTCAGATCTGGTTTCCTCGGTGTGTATGCCCAGAAGTGGGATTGCTGGGTCATATGGCAGTTCTATTTCCAGCTTTTTAAGAAATCTCCACACTGTTTTCCATAGTGGCCGTACTAATTTGCATTCCCACCAACAGTGTAAGAGGGTTCCCTTTTCTCCACACCCTCTCCAGCATTTATGCAATTACTTTTGTACCAACTTAATATCTATAGAGTTGACGATAGATATCTGTATATATCTATATCTGTAAATTCTATAGATAAATATAGAGTTTATAGATACAGTAAATGAATAAAAAATACATCTGAAGGAAGGTGACATATCAACTTGGTGGTGGTATGAAGGATGGATGTGAGTTTGGGATTTAGAGGTGTTGATAAAGGAAACTTCAGTGTTCTCTGTACTGTTTTGGTTTTTTTTTAAAGCACAGAATCAAATATGACCAGTTGTTGATAGGTTCTGAATTTAAGTATGACAATATAGATGTTTATTTGTACTTTTTTATATCTCTTATTAAGTTTACTTCCCTGGTGGCCCAGAGGGTAAAGAATCTGCCTGCAATGCGGGAGACCCAGGTTCGATCCCTGGGTTGGGAAGATCCCCTGGAGAAGTCATGGCTACCCACTACTCCAGTACTCTTGCCTGCAGAATTCCATGGACAGAGGAGCCTGAAGGGCTATAGTCCATGGGGTCACAAAGAGTCAGACACGACTGAGCAACTAACACACAAGTTTAAGAGGAACTACTTTTAAATATAGTGGAATATGAACTATTATTTTCAAAGTAGACTAAATTTAATTTTTATCTTAATTACTCTTGCCACTAATGAAATGAAATATAGAGTAACAAATGGCATTTTTGTACTGTATTTTCAGTGATGCTAATTGGTGGAAAGGAGAAAATCACAGAGGAATAGGACTCTTCCCATCTAATTTTGTAACATGTAATTTAAACATAGAATCGGAGGCAGGTAAGTTAAATCTATGGAAAGGTTAAATCTATTGAAGTTTTTTGTTTAAATTTTATGATTCGGTTTGAAATATAAAGTAGATTGGCATTTAATTCTTGTTTTGAATAATTTATTTATAGGCAATACAGTTTAACCTACTTCTTCCCAAATTAAGGGGTTAACTTATCCCAGGTCAATTCCAAATAAGAGTTATTAACTTATCATTATATTTTAAATCCTTTGAGAGTTAATGTGCATAGGTACATATAAGGCATAAAGTAAGCTGTGCTTGACCATGTAAATATTTAAATCAGTGTAATTATGGTTCAAGAGGCAATTTGCATATGTCTAGAACAAAAAATGTTTTATTCTTCATTGAAGCACAGTATCAAAGCAGGCAGGTTGGGGGAATCCATTGACAAGTGCTGAGTGTGATTACAGGGGTTAGGAGTACTCCTAAATTGTAGACTTTTTCCTTTCATTGATTTGGTCCTGGGGAACTCAGAACAATAACAAAGTAATGTAATCAAGACAGTAGACTCATAGTTCACGGAACTTCCCTCAGTTTTGGAGCCACAGACAGTTCCACACAGCTGCTGCCAGCCATGCCAAGAAAGCATCCATTTGTTAGGCAGGCAGGGAGTTGGGGGGCAGGGTGGTGGTGCTGAGTGTGCAGAACGACTGGTAATAATACTAATGATGGTGAGGGTCAAAAATAAAATTGCTCAGTGGTGTTTAAGCACTCGTTTATCAGGTGTTGTGCAAAGTCCATTTCTTGCACTATTTCATTTACTCTTCTTAAGTCTGTGAGATAAGTACTTTTGATATCCCATTTTATAGATAAGAAAACTGAGGCTGAGGTTATTTGGCTAGTAGGTGGTAGAGCCAGGATTCTAAAGTGGGCTACTCTGCCATTAGAATGTACTTGTACTGACATAGCTGCTGAACATACTGCTTCTAATCTTTATAGTTCTGGAGAATTTAAATTGAAAGCTCTACAGCATATGTAGTGTCATCTTTATATAGATTGAATGATGCATTCAGTTAAAATTGAGAGAGATGAATACTGAGTATTCTGCCACTCAATACTTCTTTTTCCTCCAGTCTGACTCTTAAGTAGATAAGAACATTGGAGACACTAGGTTTAAAAGCTTGATAGACCATGCTTAGGGAATGCCGTAGAATTCACTATAGGCTGGAGAAATTGAGCTTCTATTTTTAAAAGTAAAAATACCGTGGATTTTCAGTAAATCTTCATGTTATGCTGAGCTCTGCTGCTTAGGGCATACTTGAAATATTTGAAATAACTGTTGGGACTTAAAACTTCTTTGGTTATATAGTTTCTGATTATAATTTTTAATTCAAATTTACTTTATTAAAATATAGTACCTTGTGGCAGTTCTCCAGTGAGCATTTAAATAATTTTATTTATATATATATATATTTTTAAAGTTATTTTTCAACCTTCTCTTTTCTAAGAAAAGTTTGTTTTGTGTTGCTGTAACTATTATCAGGTTGCAATCAGGTCTCTTTTTATTTTTTACATGTAGAAAATAATTTTTTATAACAGGAAAGAGTGTAGTTCATAGATTTAACTATGAAATTAGCTAATTAGATAATAGTCTACTCTCATATATATATTTTCACCCTAGCAATAACACTCAGTTTTAGGAAGGTGCCTGTAATGACAGTTCCCATTAATATTGCTTACTTGTTCCACTAGAATGTAAGTTATATCGGGGTAAGGATTCCTATTTGTTTTTTTCACTAGTGTATTTTCAGTGCCTCGAACAATGCTTATCATATAGTAAGGGCTAAATAGATAGTTGTGCCATGAATCAATGAACATATGTAATAACATATATTGATTATGAAATGTTGTGATTATTTATCATTTCCTATTTTTTTCTTATGAATAATCACAGGCTATTTGTAAATTAATGATTAAACTACTAGAGTAAATACTGAGGAACTTAAAGTTTACTTTGTTTCCATAGCAGTTGTCGACAAATTGAATATAGTTGATGAAGAGGAGGAGGAAATTAAGAAATCAGAGCCTGAGCCTGTTTATATAGATGAGGTAAAGTCATTCTTTTGTTTAATGGTTAAACTGTCAAGACTTTTAAAATGTGTTATTCTTGAGAATGCTTGAAAATAAATTTTTATAATCATTGAAATTAAAACTCTTTGAAAGTGTCCTGTTACTTTTTTAGGATAAGATGGATAGAGCCTTGCAGGTACTGCAGAGTATAGATCCAACAGATTCAAAACCAGACTCCCAAGACCTCTTGGACTTAGAAGGTACTAAGTGAATATTAGGGATTACCTTAATGTCATTTAATGTTTTAGCGATTTATAAAGTCTTAAATTTTTTCTGCCTCAGGTTGCTTCCAGAGACTAGAAATCTTTGGTGGGAAGTAGACTAGTGTAGTAAAATAGTAAACATGTGACTTAGAAGATGTTGTTACAACCTGCCTATCCTGTTCATTGGGAAAGTCTTTACTTTTCTGTAAGCCCACTCATGAAATTTGCAGTTCAAAAAAGGACAGAATTAGAAATAGCATCATAAAGTAACTGAGTCAAAATGTTAGAAATTCTTCTTCTAATTCTCTTGTGTGAGAATTTTAAAGGTCAAAATTGTACATGATCTATGTTTACTTTGTAATGTAGGGGTATTTGATGCATGCTGATATGTCTTTTTACTCTCTAAGAAATTTGAAGCAATTAAAATAGATGTTTTTGTGCCTTTTTAAAAAATCCATTGGGAGAAAAATCTCTGGGATAAATGTATCAGTTCAGTTCAGTCACTCAGTTGTGTCTGACTCTTTGCGACCCCATGAACTGCAGCACACCAGGCTTCCCTGTCAATCACCAACTCCTGGAGCTTACTCAGACTCATGTCCATCGAGTCAGTGATGCCATCCAACCATCTCATCCTCTGTTGTCCCCTTCTCTTCTAGCCTTCCATCTTTCTCAGCATCAGGGTCTTTTCCAATGAGTTAGCTTTTTGCATCAGGTGGCCAAAGTATTGGAGTTTCAGATTCAGCATCAGCCCTTCCAATGAACACCCAGGACTGATCTCCTTTAGGATGGACTGGTTGGATCTCCTTGCAGTCCAAGGGGGTCTCAAGAGTCTTCTCCAACACCACAGTTCAAAAGCATCAGTTCTTTGGTGCTCAGCTTTCTTTATAGTCCAACTCATATCCATACATGACTACTGGAAAAACCACAGCTTTAACTAGATGGACCTTTGTTGGCAAAGTAATGTCTCTTCTTTTTAATATGCTATGTAAGTTGGTCATAGCTTTTCTTCCAAGGAGCAAGCATCTTTTTTTTTTTTTTCCCATTTATTTTTATTAGTTGGAGGCTAATTACTTTACAATATTGTAGTGGTTTTTGCCATACATTGACATGTATCAGCCATGGAGTTACATGTATTCCCCATCCCGGCCCCCCCTCCCACCTCCCCCCCACCCCATCCCTCTGGGTCTTCCCAGTGCACCAGCCCCGAGCACTTGTCTTATGCATCCAACCTGGGCTGGTGATCTGTTTCACCCTTGATAATATACATGTTTTGATGCTGTTCTCTCAGATCATCCCACCCTCACCTTCTCCCACAGAGTCCAAAAGTCTATTCTGTACATCTGTGTCTCTTTTTCTGTTTTGCATATAGGGTTATTGTTACCATCTTTCTAAATTCCATATATATGCGTTAGTATCCTGTATTGGCCTTTATCTTTCTGGCTTACTTCACTCTGTATAATGGGCTCCAGTTTCATTCCATCTCACTAGAAGCATCTTTTAATTTCATGACTGCAGTCACCATCTGCAGTGATTTTGGAGCCCCCAAAAATAGTCTTTCACTGTTTCCATTGTTTCACCATCTATATGCCATGAAGTGATTAGACTGGATGCCATGATCTTAGTTTTCTGAATCTTGAGCTTTAAGCCAACTTTTTCACTCTCCTCTTTCATTTTCATCAAGAGGCTTTTTAGTTCTTCCTTACTTTCTGCCATGAAGGTGGTGTCATCTGCATATCTGAGGTTATTGATATTTCTCCCAGCAGTCTTGTATAAATGTTATTAAATTTTTTATAGAAGAAAGTCTGGTTATGAATAGAGAATATTGTGCTACTGTATCAATGTTTACATTTGGAGATATACAAATTGTCTTATTTTGAAATGGTTTAAATAAATGAAAAATTTTCATATCTATATAATTATGTTATTTTATATACTGTGACAAGTTCATTTTATTGTAGCTAATAATAATTTTCTAAGTATTTTTAAGGTTTTTGAGATAACTCCAAACTTCAGTCTATAAAGTAGTACTTCAAAAGAACATGGTAGGATTTCTGTTCTGATTTTTACTTTGCCTTGGTCACATGATATTAATATTGGTGCTGAATAGTATTACTATTTGGTCTGTTACAGTCCTTTCTCTAGCATAACTTAATTCTCTTTATATTTTACATGGTGTTACATATTGGTGCTCTGTTGTTAAAAATTGTTGAAATTAAACTGGTTTTTTAGTTTCAAGATTTTAAAATATTTTTGTGTTTACAGATATCTGCCAACAGATGGGTCCAATGATAGATGAAAAACTTGAAGAGATTGATAGGTGAGATTCTTCATGCTGGAAATGACAAGTATAGTTTTCTTGTGTTGACTTGTTTTGGCAGAACTTTAAGCTGGGAAGTTTTTGTGGAACTGGTCAATCTTTTGAAATTGTTTCTGTTTCTAAAAACCCTTATAGACTGATGGAATGGTACTTCTGATTTCGTAATAGCTTTTTTCATGGCAGTGTACTATATGTAGAATGATGAACTCCTATCTTCATTTTTGTACTTGGGCTAGAGTTGAGGGTTAATGAATAATGAAGAGTAAATTTGAATAGAGCACAAAATGAGAACAGGAATCATAGGCAAGCACTGTTTTATTATTTAATGAAAAGTAGTACTTGTAAAACTTTCCAATGAAATTTCTTTTTTTTACTCTAAATCTGATTTACACACCTTCTCTTCTCATATTTCTTCCTTATATTTCTGTATTTCTGTTGTCCTTTTAATTTCATTATCCCATCGAGTCTTACTCTTCCTTAGAGATAGCAGCACTAAAGGTGAGACTGTCAGGGTTTTGAGCTTTTAACTTAGTTTTGCCCTTTTCTTATTCCTCGGAGCTTTGTATCTTAAGTCAGAGGGGGCAGCCATGGTGAATGGCAGGCAAGTAGGAAGGCTGTAGTGTCCCACGGTCCTCCCTTTCTGGACTTGGGTATAAAACAGCATAGGAAGAGCAGGAATTGCTTTACTTCTTATCTGCCTTTGCCAGAGAAGAGTAGCAAGGTTTTTTCTAGTCACTGAAGATTATAATCTTTGTTCCCTAGAACTTTTTTTTTTTAATAAATTTGTTGTATTTTCTATAGAAATGAAAAATAAACCCCTATCTCAGTAAATGAAATGATGGTGTCAATTTCATCATATTTTTTGGTCTTATTTTGGAGAAAGCATGGAATATCTACTGATAATCTGTTATTTTGGTTTCAGTGCAGGTACATTAATGGTTAGTGAATAATCAAATGGAAAAGATTAAAAAGAGGGCTTCCCTGGTCGCTCAGTGTTAAAGAATCTGCTTGTTAATGCACGAGACACAGTTCGATTCCAGGTCTGGGAAGACCCCGTGTGCCACGGCACAGCTGAGCCTGTGTGCCACAGCTGCGGAGCCTGTGCTCTGGAGCCGGGGACCGTGGTGCCGCTCCTGAAGCCTGAACCCTCTCGAGCCCATGCTCAGAAACACGAGAAGCGCCGTAATGAGAAGCCCCTGCACCGCAGCTGTCCCCCCTTCACCGCAACTAGAGAAAAGCCTGCCCACGCAGTAGCGAAGACCTAGCGCAGCCAAATAAATGCAGACATAAAATTACTTTTTAAAAAGAAAATAGTATTATCTTAGGTGTGGCTAGGGCTGCAATTATTATAAACCTTTCTAAAGACTAAAAATAGTCCATATCTTTTAACTCAGCAATTTCAGGCCGATACTAAATACATAGGGATATATGCAGATTTAGCTCTTTGGGTGTTCTTCACAGTGTTATTTATAATAACAAACTTGAAAGTAACTAAAATGTCTTTCAATGTGAGATTGGTTTTATAAAAATTATACATCCACACATTCTACAGTAAAAAGCATAATCATTGATAAACGTCTATTGACATGTAGTGAAAAAAGCCAAAGAGATGACAGTATAATTTTATTTTTGTCAATAAAGAATATTTTCAGAGGAAAACAAATAATCACTCTATTTTTTTCATTGTTTTCCTCTGAAGATATTCTTAACTTAGGATATGAGTTACTTTTTTGAGTGAAAGCTCACCTGTTAACCATTTCTTTCTTTAATTTCAGTCTCTGAATAGGCCAGCTGGCATTTTCTGCTTCATGCCCACTGACTGCAGATGCAGCTCCTATTTTGGAAAATGCTTGCTATTCTTCAACAAACTTTTATTGACTATTTACCCTTGCTGAGCATTCAGAGATGAATAAAATATTGTTTCCTCCCTTGAATGGATCACCATTAGTTTGTTTTTCCTGAGAAGAAAAATAACTTTACTATCAGAATATTAAATTTAAGCTTTCATTTCTGTCATTGTACAGAATGAAATTTTGTAGCATTTATCATACTAGGAAATTATGTTGAGTAAACATGTAAATTGACTTCAAAAAAAGGTGTAGATAGAGTTATTGAAGAAAGATCCATAGCCTGAGCTTAACTGTTTCAGGCTGTTCTAACGTTCTTTCCTACTGCCTTCCAAAAACCATTTTTTACCACCTCTGTCAAAGTGCCTTTTCTACCACCTTTTCACTCTTCCCTGTGTACCCTTCTTGTTTCTTTCAGTTGCCTTAATTTACACTGTCCCACTGACCTGACTTGGTCTTCCTTTTTTGCTTGACCTTTCCATCCTTCCTGGGGTACCAGCTTAAGTCCCGGCTTCTCCAAAAAACCTTGTGAATCACATTAATCCCCTCCTCTAAACTCTTCGGTCCCCTACCTATTTCACTGAATTTTGCATTCGGTTATGTGCTATCTTATATCATTTGCTATTTTTCAGGCCTTGTCTTCCTAACAGACTGCAGTCTTTCTGAAGGAGAGAATGATACTTTTGCCTAATTTCTCTGTCCCAGGATAGTTTCGGGCACAGTTTAGTAAAAATTTGTTACTGCTTTGGGATTGTGTCTCAAATCCTTGAAGGTGATCTCAAGTGTGCATTCAGCCTGCCCTTCAGTGTTCTGGTGTTTCATTAGTATAATACTGGGTTATATGGACTCTGGTTCTTAGAGCCTATGGTTCTTAGTGACACATCTGTAGCATGGATGATCATTTCTGAAACTTCCTGTGCAATTTACAACCAATATTTCTGAAAGTAGAGTTCAACCTCCTTGATACAGTCACACATGCAAGAGAGCAAACAGCACTTTTTATTTCAGACATAACAGTCTCTGATGGAGGAAAGGTGACAAGTCCTGATAGGACTCAGTCCAGGTCATATATTGGATAGCCCTGTGTCTGGCTGCTTGCTTTGCTTCTTGTCTGTTGAGTCTCTCTGTGTATGTTTTTAAAGCTACATGAACAAACAGATTTGTGGGTGCTTTGGGCCAGATTAAGTGGCCATTTAACTTCTATGAACTTGTCAGCTATGAAGGGAGTGCCCCAGAATGAGAGTGAAACTGTACCAGGTTGGAAAAAAAAACAAAAAACTGTACCAGGCTGAAAGGATTGACTTTGCAATTCCCTGGCAGTTTTGAAGATGCAAACTTGAAAATATTCTTATTGGACCTATATTCACTCACTTTCAAAAGAAACCAATGAACAAGCTGTAGAGACTACTTTATGTATCCATTTTTTTCATTTGCATTTTTAAGGATAATTATTAATTTTTTTTATTTGAGCCTTTCATGCGTATAAGCAAATAAAAATTGTGTTATTCTGTTTGTGAATGTGCTTATATCTCAGTCATATTGTATCTCACACCTGGCTCTGGTCCTTGCCTGAGTACTTTCTTCTTCTACTAAGATTTTTAATTAAGACTTGGACTCTTCCTAAATTCAAAAATTACTCTTGTTTGTAATTGAATTTTTAACAGAAACCTGTAACATAAGAAAAAAAATTCTTCTAGCACCAAAATTATGAACTGGTTGCATTTTACCACTTGTGGAAAGGAATTCCCCTAGTATTACAAAGTTATATCAGCCTAGTCATTACATGAAGTAAATAACTCCTCCTGTTTTCCCTGTTTGAATATTCTTTCATAGTAGAATCTTTTAAAATATGAATAGAAACTGTAAATTTAAAAAAATAATTTATGTTGCTAAGTGAAAAGGGAAGTCGCTCAGTCGTGTCCGACTCTTTGCAATTCCACGACTCTTTGCAATTCCACGGACTGTCACCTCCCAGGCTCCTCAGGCGACCATCCGTGGAGTTTTTCAGGCAAGAGTACTGGAGTGGGTCGCCATTTCCTTCTCCAGGGGATCTTCTCGACCCAGGGATCAAACCCCGGTCTCCCTCATTGCAGGCAGACGCTTTACCATCTGAGCCACAGCGAAGCCCTTCTTTTCATTAGTCTAGTATGTTGCTAAAAATATATGCTTAAATGCTTAAAAACTTTGAAAAGTATTAAAGGGCTTTTCTTCTATATCAGGAAGCATTCAGAATTGTCTGAATTGAATGTAAAAGTCTTAGAAGCTCTGGAACTTTATAATAAGTTGATGAATGAAGCACCAGTATATTCAGTCTATTCAAAGATCCACCATCCAGCACATTACCCATCTTCATCAGTTGGAGTTCCAATTCAGGTGAGCATATCATTTGAGAACATTTTTCAAAATGTAAAAGAAGTTTTAAATTAAAAAAAGGATAGTATTAAAATTTCTATAGTCCATGAATAACATTATAAAATCCATCTCCGTCAGAAAATTGTTGGATAAACAGTTAAGTGTTCACCAGGACAATTAGACACTCATATTTCACAAATATATTTTAGTTCATTTATAACATAATGAAGAGACCATTAAATATATGAGGGGAGTTCTATTCTTCATGAGATTTTGTAAGTATAAATCCTTTGGTTTAGGACAGAGCCTGGCATGTCAGGAGTCCTCCAGATGAGGTACTGATGCTGTTCCTGTTGCTCAGCAAGCAAAATCTAACATTTATTATAAATTTCTGTTAAGATTTCTTTAACTTCTATGATTATTAAAAAGGCTTAAGGAACTTATTTTGTTCTCAGATCATGCTTTATATTTTCTCAGATGTATGGCTTATACTGTTAAAAATCCACACATGATGAGGATATGATGCAGGCCTATACATAGAGGTTCCTTGAGCCTTTCATGAACATCTTTTCCAGGGCTTTTTACACCTTTTCTGCACTTCCCAGCTGAAGCGAATATTTATATTTGTCAGTTTCCGGTATTCTGAAGCCTTTTTCAAATTTCAGTCAGTTAGCAGTTGAATTCAGAATGAGCTTGGATGAACAAATTCCATGTTAATGTATGAAAACTGGTATGTAAAGGAGTGTGTGAAGGAGACACCAAGGAGAAACAGAATGTGGATGCATAATCTAGGTGACTTGACACAACATAATTGTTAAGTAAAAAAAGAATAGTTACTATGGTAACTGTCACATCAGACAAGATGCATTTATCAAATATGCTGTTCCTCGAACTTCTGAAAATGATGAGAATCATTACATGTGAGGGTAGAAAGGACTTCTGGGTGCAAAAGACAGCTGGAGTTTATTCAGTATTGCTTCTTTTTATCTGCTGCTGCTGTGACCATGAAACAAAATAGAAATGTCTGCGCCATTGTGTTACAGCACTAGATATTGTATTTACTTCTTTGTGTGTCTAAAAAGGGTTATTTGTCCTTCCTGTGTCAGATTTTTATGTTTAGTTGCATATTGTTTACAATCCGTGTTTCGCTAAGCAGAACTTATTCCTTTAAAAAGTTAGCATTCTGTCTAGTTTGATTCTTCATAGAATATTATCTATATTATTCGCACATAATAGCATTTGAAATATTTAAAGTTCCTATTCTAATTTGAAAAAGAAAAGTTCATACTAGAAAAAGGTGGAGTAGCACACCATTAGCTGCACTGTGAAGGCCGTTCAGGGACCCTAACGTGTAGAAGAGGTCCGCTCCCACCGTCTTAGCCTGCTGTCAATGGGCTGTGTGTCTGCTAAGGAGGTGGTAGGATTTCTTTTTCCTTTTTAAAGTTTTGGCTGCACTGCACAGCTTAGTTCCCCAACCAAGGATCAGATCCATGCCTTCGGCAATGAAAGTATGGAGTCCTAACCACTGGAAAGAAAGTGAAAGTCTCTTAGTCGTGTCCAACTCTTCACAACCCCATGGACCATGGAATTCTCCAGGCCAGAATGCTGGAGTGGGTAGCTTTTCCCTTCTCCAGGGGATCTTCCCAACCCAGAGATCGCACCCAGGGCTCCCGTATTGCAGGTGGAGTGTTCACCAGCTGAGCCACCAGGGAAGCCCAGGAATACTGGAGTGGGTAGCCTATCCCTTCTCCAGTGGATCTTCCTGACCCAGGAATTGGACTGGGGTCTCCTGCATTGCAGGCGGATTCTTTACTAACTGGGCTCTCAGGGAAGCCCCCTAACCATTGGACTGCCAGGGAATTCCCATGATTATAGTTGTCAATGTAGTGGTTTATTTGGCATTTTTAGAATTCTGAATTTTCATGTTATTGGTCTTTGCTTTAAAAATAGCTTAGTTTAAAACTGGAGTGATGATAGTTACTGTATGATACTTGTTAAACATGCAGTTGTTTTGAATGTTGTATTTTGTAAGCAGGTTGTAGATTCTGTCCTGAAAGAGATGTTACCCTGAAAATTAAGTAGGGCACACATACATATAAATAGCCAAAGAGACTTAGACCATGTTGCTAGTTCTTGAGGGCCCATCTCCTTTACCCAGAATTCTTCTCTCCTTTTGTCCTCTCTGTCCTGCAGGAAGGATGAAGGAGGCATTGCCAGAGAGGGCCTGCACCCTGCCTTGATACCACGTATCCTTCAATTTATTCTTTTAAGTTTTATTCTTAAGAAGTTGAATAAGGCACCCCGAGATAGGGGTGAAGAAGGTCATCTTTCTCATGGTGACTTGAAGTGATACTGTGCTGACTTCAAGGGAGTATATAGTCTTCCTTGTGGCTCGACAGCAAGACATGTTACCTAGTAATAGACTGCCTAGATGAATTCCAACCTGCTGCTTAAAAATACACCACCTCCCTTCCTTTCACCGTGCTGCAAAATAAAAGAATGAGCAAGTAAATCATAAACTTCCATGGATTTGGCACTATGATGTGGAAGCGCTCCATGTTTTACACCAGGGTGGACAGATTGATGAAATCAGATTGCTCTCCAAAGAACTATTGCATTTTATTTCATTTAAGTCTTTTAAAGTTTTAATGTATTGCTAGGCAGTTGTTTGGGAAATCAGTGAGCCAACCTTTTCTCCTTGGTTAACAGACATACCCAGTTCAACCACATGGTGGAAACTATATGGGTCAAAGTATTCAGCACGTCACTGTTGCCCAGAGCTACAGCCTAGGACCAGATCAGATTGGTCCACTGAGATCTCTGCCTCCAACTGTGAATTCCTCAGTGACAACACAGCCTGCTCAAACTCCGTACTTAAGGTAAGTTTTTGGGAGCTATGTTAATTTTGTAATTATATACATTAAGTTTTCACAGACGTTCAGAATGAGAGTAATTAGACCCTTTTCTTCGTAATAATAGCGCCTTCTTTTGCTGTTGAGATGAAGTTACAGAAGTGCTCATTCACCATCCCATGAGATAGGAATGGTGCCATCTTAGCTTGCTACCCATACTGAGATGGTGCCAGACCTGGAGTACAGTCTGGGCCCATGGGAAAAATAAGCTAACTTCCCTTATAGAAGCCAGGCCATTGATATACTTAGCACGGTGCTTTAATTAGTAGTCTCGGTGAAGACGGAAGTGGCAACCCACTCCAGTATTCCTGCCTGGGCAATCCCATGGACAGAGGAGCCTGGCGGGCTACAGTCTGTGGGGTCGCAAAAGAGTAGACATGACTGGGTGGCTGAACAACAACAAAGTAGTCTCAGACGTATTTTAGGAGTGTGTATTCCTAAAAAGCAAAAAGCTTTGCTGCTTTGACTCTTAGAAGAAGTATGTCTCAGCTGTGGAATTTGTCGTCTGATTTTTTTATATTCTTCACTTCTATCCTGAAAACCATGTCTGAATCTTGCCTTCTGTTAACTTTGCTTAACAACACAAAATGTCTCTTTAGTTCAGTCATGTGTAATGATCTCGAAAGTCTCTTCCCACTCTTAAATTCCATGAGTATAAATTTTAGATATTATCTGGTAATTAAATGAATCTGTTCATATTGGTATTTAACTCAGTTAAAATGTAAAAATTTTGTTATCCTGGGTGACATTAGGAATTACAGAGAGAAAAACTATAGAGGAGTATAGACATGGATCCTCCTGTATTGAAACAGTATATTTGGTACAATTAAAAAGTATAGCTACTGGGGAAGGCCCTTTCAAAAATTACACTATGTTGGGACTTCACTGTGGTCCAGTGGTTAAGAATACGCCTTCCAATGCAGGTGACGTGAGTTCGATCCCTGGTTGGGGAACTAAGATCCCACATGCTGCGGGGCAGCTTAGCCCGTGTGCCACAACTAAGGGTTGATGCAGCCAAAAAAGTAAATAAATAAAAAATAAAATAAAAGCTGCTACTGTTGCTGCTAAGTCACTGTGTCTGACTGTGTGACCCCACAGACGGCAGCCCACCAGGCTCTGCTGTCCCTGGGATTCTCCAGGCAAGAACACTGGAGTGGGTTGCCATTTCCTTCTCCAGTGCATGAAAGTAAAAAGTGAAAGTGAAGTCTCTCAGTCGTGTCTGACTCTTCAAGACCCCATGGACTGGGATTTTCCAGGCAAGAGTACTGGAGTGGGGTGCCATTGGCTTCTCTGAAATCAAAGCTACACTATAGTAATTATAGGAACAAATAGATGTCCCGTAGTTTGGTGTGATTTTCAACTTAGTAGGGATTTGGGATTTTTTTGTTTTGTTTTTGCATAGTGTTAATATAGTCTGTTGAGGGTAGATTCAGGTCCTGTGTGGATTACACATTCCCCCTGCTTGTATTATTTTTATGTAGGGATTCAGGTTAAGCTGCCAGGGGCAGCTTGGAAAGGGTGCTACCAGAGGAAAGTATAAAGAGTGGGTAAAGAAACATGGTCTCTGCCGTGCTGACTGAGAGAACAGGGACAGGAGAAAATGGGCTGAGGGTGTACTTGAGCTGGGGTTCTGTTCTCACCACACCTGGTCCGGGACACCAGGGGCAGAAACACTCTGCATCTCCTCAGAAGATTTCCAGATGTTTTCCATGAGAGATTTTGGGGAAAACAAAATTAGATAGGGCTTATAATCCTATATTTTATTTCACTTGGACTACTTCCTTCTTCTCAAATATGAAAATTACACTAACAGTGTTGGATAGCTGGAGTGGTTAAATTATAATCAGAATAGTAGAGTGATATAAACTTAGAAATATGGAAAAGACATTTTTATTTTGTCACAGTGATTACTCTCTGACTGTAACCCAGACAATGCAAAGTAAATACAGTTTTCTTTTTAAAATTTTGTTCGCAGCACTGGACAAGACACTGTTTCCAACCCTACTTACATGAACCAGAACTCTAACCTGCAGTCAGCTCCTGGTGCAGCGGCTTACCCGCAGCAGATGGGGGTGCCCGTGGATCTGTCGTCTTACCAGAACACTACTTCCAACTTGCCGCAGTTGGCAGGCTTTCCCCTGGCAGTTCCGGCTCATTCAATTGCACAGCCGCAAACAAATTACCATCAACAGCAGCCTCTCCTTTAAAAGCAAACCAAGCATTCTCTTGAAAGCCTTCATAAGTGTACTACTCAACCCTTGTGATTATAATCTGAAAATATTAAAAGAAGGAAAAAAAATTTTTCTCAACTGAAAAGACCCATAAATAAATAAAGCACAAAAACCTGTCTTATTCTTATTATGCCATAAAAAGTTCTTTTCCAGTTCCAGCTTGTTTGAAGTCAGCCTTTTGATCAGAGGCAGCTTCAAGTTGCTTCCAGTTAGTTTTTTCTTACTTTCAAATCTCTCTATACAAATCTGGACAAACAAATAAATAGCCTTATGACACTAAACAACAAGAGATAGGCGTGTAGGAGTGTATAAGGAAAGCACCATTTACCCCTAAATTGTCATGGTAATTGGGAAAGCACTGAAACCTTTAAGTACTTTTTGTCTGCTTTTTTTTGTTTTTCTCTTCTTTTTCAGTTTCCCACACACCATTGTTTAAAAAGACCAACATGTTTTTGTGCAGGCATTTAGCTTCCCTGCATATTTCCTTTGTTTCCTTAAATTGCAGTTGTGTTTGCAGTACTGTCAGTTTTGCTATCAGTGACGTGTTGAGTAATAATTAGCATAGAATTGTCTACAGAAGGAAGAACACTTTGGGAGGAACAGAAATGTTTTCTGTTGTTATTAGTGAAGACCATGTAAATGCAGATGTGTGTTAAGTATTTAGCCAGTTCTCCAGTCATGCCAACAGTGGGTTGCGGAATGCCCCATGAAACACTTCCAATCCCTGGGAAAAAAATAAAAACATTTTTTCCTACAAGGGTCCTTAGCATTTAGAATTGCCACTTAAAAACCTTTTCAGGTGGTTTTGGCCATCATCTAAGGAAGATACAAGGTCCGTTTGGTTTTTTTTTTTTGGTTGGTTGATTGGTTTTGTTTTTCTGCAGCATGGTGTGCAGAGACGCTGCATTTCCATTTTACAGACTATGTGAATTTGAGCTATGAGACATTCCTCATAACATGATGCAGTGTATACCAGGCATGAATGAGGTGTGTTTTTACTGATGTGTTGTTTTTTTTAAAAGGTGATTTGAGTACCAGTGGTACGCCAGACTGTTGACAATTTTGGCCATTGCTTTCAGAAGCAATCGAGCTTGTGGAATAATAACAGGCAGTAGATATATAGGGAAGCCATCAAGACAGTTTTTCCTGAAGCCTATGTTCTAGGTGAGTTTGAAGTGCTAATATATTCCACGTACTTTGGGAGTTAGGTAGTAAACCAATAGGGATTGTTTTCTTTCCTAAGAATTTGCACCACTATTGCATCATCTACCAACTTTTTAGATAGCACAGAATGTGAATACATTATGCTTACAGATCCATGGTATTTTGACTGGGAGAAACAATGGATGTAAAGTTGAGTTTTTAAAAATTTAACTCGCAGGAATTCCCTGGCTCACTGGGGTCCATATTCAAACTAAGATCCTGCAAGCTGCAAAAATAAATAAACTTGCATGGAAGCAAGATTTCTGTATTGTTTTTTAAAGAAAGCCCTTAATCTTTCTACTAAGAATCCATTTGAAGATAGTGCTCTGGAAATATTTGTCATTTCTGTATTTATAGAAATTCCATTATAAATATGCTCCTTTTTCAAAGAAACTATATCCTGGGGAAAAAGTCTTCTATATACTACTTGGTCTACATTTAAAGGGAAAAACAAGCAATATTGGAAAAACCCAATTTCTGTCATTGTCTTATTTCAGATATAAGTAACTGGAAAGAAACTTTTAACCTTTCATGTCTGTCCTCTGTTTTTTATCCAGTATTTTCCTTCCATGTGAATTCAGTTATATACTTGTAAGAAATTCTAAAATAGCACCTTACTTTTTTGGAAATGAATCTTCTATAAAGAAAACAAAGCAGAAAAAACATTTACAAAACTACACTTGATAATAATTAGCGTTTGCATGATATATGAAAAATCTTACATTTTCCCCCACAGTATTTAATAAAGTTATTTTAATGTTTGTGTAAATAATTTATGTACAATTGTGATCTGAGTTGTAAAAGCTTGATTCTGTGTAAGTCTTTGAATTACAATAAATACTGCACACCCTCTAATTTGGGTTCTGCCATTTTTAAGTTCAACTAATGTAGTTTTGGAATGATATAACATGAAACGTGTATATAGTGTATATTGGCATTTATCTGTGAAATTTTATATATCCGGAAGTTTCTTCTCCCTTTTAAATTAAAAATAATTTTATTTTTGCCATACTGTAGCGAATCTTGTGTTACAGGTTGTTGATAGTATAAAAATGTTATTAAATCGGTATACTGAGATGATATTTTTGGTGTTAATAAGAAAAACAGTTATTTTTCTTTCTTTTTCATGATCTTATGGATGTATTTAAGACCTGTTTATAATTCAATGTTTTCTGCCAAAGGAATTATTTAACATCAGATTTCTACATTAGGTTCATACTTACTATTTTATATAAAAAATAAAAATAACTTCTACTTTTTCATATGGAAATCTTGGTACATTAGAAAGAATTCCTGACAATTTATAATACAATTTTCACTGATGTAGGAAAAAATCTGCCCTAGATCTTAAACTATATGAAGTGAGATATGTTCTTACACTTTGAAAAATATATGGTCTACCAACATTGTCTTGTAATTTGGTAACTTGTTTATAAAATTACCTGAACATTAAATAATTATAACACTTATCAATTAAGAATTGATACCTGACTGCATAACAGATATCACTGTATATTTTGAAGACAGTTATAAAGTATCACCATCCAGATTTTTTTAATTGATTTTAGATGTTAAAAATTATTGTTTAGGAATTTTAAAAGAAAGTTCTTCTTAGTAAAAATTGTGCCAAGGCCCCTGACTTCTGGGAGAGGAGTTATTGTCATTTTGGTGAGAAAGCTGAAGTTATTTTTGTAAATAATAAATTATAAATACTATAGCACCAATCTGTCATGCTTTGTTTCTGTCAAAAGGCATTTTTCTTATTTACGTACTCAGTTCTAGGGAGTTGATTTAGTTTCTTTTGAAGATTAAAGATTTTTTAAATAAAGTTCTCCAGAGAAGATTGGTTCTAATCTTACCAAGCCAAATTTAAATTTGCATTTTGAAAAAGCCTTACTGTGTCAAAAAGAGAAATTAGGTTGCTTACATTGAGTAGTGGGATGAATGAAAGTGAAGTGAAGTCGCTCAGTCATTCTGACTCTTTGTGATCCCGTGGATTGTAGCCTACCAGGCTCCTCGGTCCATGGGATTTTCCAGGCAGAAATACTGGAGTGGGTTGCCATTTCTTTCTCCACGGGATCTTCCCAACCCAGTAATCAAACCCAGGTCTCCCACATTGTAGGCAGATGTTTTACCGTCTGAGCCAGTAGGGAAGTTCCCATATAGCTCAGTCGGTAAAGTATCTGCCTGCAATGCGGGAGACCTGGGTTCAGCTTCTGGGTCAGGAAGTTCCCCTTGGGATGAAGAGTGTCCTCCCAAAACTCATGCTCCCCTAGAATGTCAGAATGTGAACTTATCTGGAAAAACAAATTGCAGATGTAATTAGTTAAGGATCTCAAGGTGAGATCATTCTGGATTTAGGGTGGGCTGTAAATCCCATGACAGTGCCCTTTTGAGAAGACACAGAGACACAGCCAGCAAGTTGTGAAGATGGAGGCAGAGATGGGAATTAATCTGCCACAAGGCAAGGACTGCCTGGGGCCACCAGAACCGGAGGAAGCAAGGACAGATTCTTCCCTAAGAGACTTCAGAAGGAACACGGCCCTGCTGGCACCTTGATTTCAAATTTCTAGCCTCTAAAACTAAAAAGAAATCAACGCTTTAAGCCACTCTGAGGTCTTTTGTTAGCGCAGCACCAGGAAACCAACAAGCTTGAATGAAAGTCTGCGGTGGAGCCTGAACACCGGGCGCTCCAGACTCAGGCGGCGGGCTGAAATTGTCACAGCGCTTCCGAGACAAGGCAGTCCCACTGCTAGACTTTACTATCTTTTTCAAACTGTAATGAGATTGTGTGGGCAAATGAAGCTAAGACCCCTGATAATCCCATTTTTAGGGATTAAAAAACCTGCATTTCAATCATTGATTTCTTTCTGCCAGAGCTTATGCAGTTACTATTCGCTCTTCTAGTGCGGACTGAACAAAAGCAGAAATGTTCAAGGCAAGCAGAGGGACAGAAGAAGAAACCAGAAAACTGAGTATTCTCCAGAAAGGCTACTGAAGAATGGAATTATGTTCTTATTTTATACCATAAAATAAAGACTTTCCAATACTTTTACAGCAGGTCAATGACCTTTACTAATTATATGTAGTCTAGGGAGCCTGCTATCTTTAAAAAAATGGAGGTGAAACCATGTAACAGAAAATTAGCCATTTTGAAATGAACAGTGGCATTTTAGTAGCATTTACAGCTCCCCAAATTAGTCTTTGTGTCTTTTTTTTCCACTTAGCCTAAAGTTGTCGAGGTACATCTCCACATATAACATAGTAAATGAGGTTCATATACCATAGGTTTATTTATCCATTCATCTGTTGATAGGTACTTGGGCTGTTTCCACCTTTTTGCTGTTGTGAATAGTGCTGCTATGAATGTGTGTGTACATGTTATTTGAATACCAATTTCCAGTTCTTTTGTATCTATATATAAGGGTGTAACTACTGGGTCATATGGTATTTATATTTAATATTCTGAGGAACTGCCAAACTTTCATGCTGCCACCAGCAATGCTTGAGGGTTCTGATTTCTCTATATTCTCACCAATGCTTATTTCCTATTTTGAAAAATTATAGTCATTCTGATGGATGTGAAGTGGTGCCTCACTGTGGTTTCTATTTGTGTTTCCCTAATGGGTACTGAGCATCTTTTCATGTGCTTGGCCACTGTATATCTTTTTTGGAAAAATATCTGTGAGCCTTCTGCTCATTTTTATTTTTTATTTTTCCATTTATTTTTATTAGTTGGAGGCTAATTACTTTACATCATTGCAGTGGTTTTG